TTATTTTGATCTAGATCAGTATCTGGGTGTTTGGTTGGATTGGTTGACTAGTTAGCCTTGCAAACCCTATCGGGCAATCCTGGATTTATATCCCGAATGGATTCAAAAGGCTCCATTGACAGCGTACCTGGTATTATTGACGCCAACTTGAGGTCCTCATCGAGAAGAAGCATTTCTTCATTTCGATCGAAAGGTTCGGGTACAAATTCTAGTAGGGAAGTGGCATTAGATGATTTGGGATCGAAGCGTGTGCAATATGGATCTAGGGGAGCTGAGTCTGAGATATTTGGCATGTCACTTAAAGGAGATAAATGATGAGGATGCTAGGTTGGTGTATATAAATGATATTGAGAAGACAAATGAGAGGTTTCAGTTTGCTGGTAATTCCATTAGAACGGGAAAATATTCTATCTTGACATTCTTGCCTAGGAATTTATTTGAGCAGTTCCATAGAGTTGCCTACATATATTTCCTTGTGATTGCTGTGCTTAACCAGCTTCCTCAACTAGCCGTCTTTGGGCGGGAAGCCTCCATTTTGCCCTTAGCCTTTGTCCTGCTAGTTACAGCAGTTAAAGATGCTTATGAGGATTGGCGGCGCCATAGATCAGATAAGATTGAAAACAACAGAAATGCATCAGTTCTGGTCAATGATCAGTTTCAGCTCAAGAGATGGAAGGACATTCGGGTTGGTGAAATCATCAAAGTTCACGCAAATGAAACTCTTCCTTGTGACATGGTGCTTCTCTCTACCAGCGATGCAACTGGGGTTGCCTATGTGCAGACTATTAACTTAGATGGGGAATCAAATTTGAAGACCCGGTATGCAAAGCAAGAGACCTTTTTGAAGGTTCCAGAGAAGGACAAGATTACTGGATTGATCAAATGTGAGAAGCCTAATAGAAACATATATGGGTTTCAAGCCAACATGGATATTGATGGGAAAAGGCTGTCACTTGGACCCTCTAACATCGTTCTCCGAGGATGTGAGCTCAAGAATACTGCTTGGGCACTTGGGGTGGTTGTGTACGCCGGTCGTGAGACAAAAGCAATGCTCAACAGCTCAGGTGCACAATCAAAGAGGAGCAGGCTCGAGACTCAGATGAACTTTCAGATTATCATCCTTTCTCTCTTTCTTGCTGCTTTATGCATAGTTGTCTCAGTCTGTGCTGCAGTATGGCTGAGGCGCCATAGGAATGAGCTGGATGACATGCCCTTTTACAGGAGAAAAGATTTCTCTGAGGAGGGTGAAGTGAAAGACTTTAATTATCTTGGCTGGGGATTGGAGATAGCTTTCACATTTCTTATGTCAGTCATCGTGTTCCAGGTCATGATCCCCATTTCTTTGTACATATCAATGGAGCTTGTCCGGCTTGGTCAGGCATACTTCATGGTCCGAGATACCCAAATGTATGATGAGGCCTCAAATACAAAATTTCAGTGTAGGGCTTTGAATATAAATGAAGATTTAGGACAAGTAAAGTATATATTCTCAGATAAAACAGGTACACTAACAGAGAACAAGATGGAATTTCATTGTGCTAGCATTATGGGAGTTGATTACAGCGGTGGAGAAGCTAACACAGAAACTGAACATGTTGGCCATGCTATCGAAGGTAATAAACTTTGCTTTTGGAGGATTAACTGCTATCTTTTCTTTCAGCTGACAGAACCATAACTTATTCATCCTAAATTCTTCCTTTTGGATTTTTTATTTATAACTTGGTTACAGTGAATGGGAAGATTTTGAGACCAAAGATGAAGGTGAAGACTGATCCAGAGTTACTACAGTTGGCAAGAAGTGGAAATGGCACAAAGGAAGGAAAATGTATTTATAATTTCTTCCTTGCATTGGCAGCTTGCAACACCATTGTACCTATCGTCATAGACACATCTGATCCAACCTTGAAATTGGTAGATTATCAAGGGGAGTCCCCAGACGAACAAGCATTGGTTTATGCTGCAGCTGCATATGGGTTTATGCTTGTAGAACGTACTTCTGGCCATATAGTTATTGATATTCGAGGAGAAAAACAAAGGTAAATAAGAAGCGGTATTTCCCTTTTCTTTTCTTTCTTTTCTCTTTTCTTCTTCAACTTACTACTTTAGGAGACCAAAGGCCAGTAGCACCAGTATCACCAACAGCAGTAATATGACAAGCACAGCCCAGGAGAATTATGACTGATGCAGGATAGATAAACAGGAGAGAGAATAGGGGAAAAATAAAAGAAATACGGGAGAGGTTAGTGAAGAAAGGGAAGAAAATAGAAGAAACCATGAAAACTTGAGGACAAAGGGGAAAAACTCTCAACAGTCGTTTTAATTGCTTTTCATCAGCCATGTGTTATCTTAAAATCCTAAGTGAAGCATCCTTTTATATTCGCCAAGCGCTCTCAAGGAGTACCTAAATCCTAATCACAGTGAGAAAGTCGAACTCTTGAATTCTAGCTTAAAGTAAAACCCAAGTTCTTAAATTGTCTAAAAAATTTAATGATGTGTGGAAATGTTAGAATACAGATCCTTTCAGTGTATTTTTTACACTAGAAAAACTCGATCTTAGCTTTATTGGTTTCACGATCATTTTCCCCCATTTGATGAAGACTTGAATTTGGATTTTGAAATGTCTGAAATATCAACAAGTACAGTCTCTGGACATGCAATTCAGAGATTTGATACCACCTTGATTCACATCCTGAAGTCAGGTTGCCTGGAAAATTGTAAAAATTTGACGAATATGTATCCTACATCCTTAGGAAGGTTTCAATCTTCATTTGCAAAAATAATGGGATTATATTTTTCTGTCTCTTAACTTTTATTGATATTCATAGTTCTGCTTGTTTTGTCTTTACAATCTTCAAGGCTATCTTTAGCATCTTGCTTCGAAAATTTGAAAATTTGTTGTGCTACATTCAATTCTTTTCGGCGTCTCAAGTGCATTGTAATACAGTAATACCATCAAGTTGTTACTTCATTTTCGTTATTATGGAAAATGCTTAATGACGTAATTCCTATAGTTCTTTTTACAGATTTGGTTTGGTTTTTTAAGAGTAATGCTGGATTTCAGTTTATTGAGTGCCCTCAGTTATGACCCTTAATTGACCATGTTTTTTCTGAATGCTTGATTATGATACTGTCAATTGACAGTGTGCTTTTTTTATTAAATAGCAGAACATTTAGCTGGTTTGTTAAACTGAAAATAGTAGATACTGCAGACCTATTAGAGTCTCTTTAAATTTCAAAATTCCTAACTCTTTATTTGTGTTAAGCAAGCCGGGAATCACTTCATTATTTATATTACATTTGTTTTTAATTTTTATGGACGCAAATTGCTAAAACTTCTTATAAGAAGTTTCTTCCCCAAAATTTTTGTGACCCATATGTGATGACATATCTGCATCAAGCAATTATTTCAATCGGTTGCCAGGTGAGCAACAAAGAGAAGAATTTATCGATGAGATATCTAGTTTCTAAAATTTTTGTTTTGTTTTATTCTAGTAAATAGATTCAATAATAATTAATGGGGACCAAGCACTAGAAGTGGTAGACCTGGTGTTAGTGTTAGTGCCTTAAAACTGATATTTGTTGCAAGAAATAATAATCATATTATTTCTCTTCATGGGCAATGCAGGTTCAATGTTTTGGGTTTGCATGAGTTTGACAGTGACAGAAAGAGAATGTCTGTAATATTAGGGTGCCCTGACAAGTCTGTGCAAGTCTTCGTAAAGGGTGCTGACACATCCATGTTTAGTGTGATTGACAAATCTCTTTCCATGAATGTTATGCATGCAACTGAAGCCCACCTTCACGCTTACTCCTCTCGGGGCTTGAGAACCCTTGTTGTTGGCATGAGGGAACTCAGTGATAGAAAGTTCGAACAATGGCACTCTTCCTTTGAACATGCAAGCACTGCACTGATTGGTAGGGCTGCATTGCTCCGCAAAGTTGCAAGCACTGTGGAAAATAATCTTTCCATACTTGGTGCCTCTGGTATTGAAGATAAGTTGCAACAAGGTGTGCCAGAAGCCATAGAGTCTCTTAGAATCGCAGGGATGAAAGTGTGGGTTCTCACTGGGGACAAGCAAGAAACGGCCATATCAATTGGCTACTCCTCAAAGCTCCTAACAGCAAAGATGACCCAGGTTACAATAAACAGCAACTCTAAGGAGTCATGTAGGAAAAGTTTACAAGATGCTATTGTTATGGTGAAGAAGCTGACGACAGTTCCTGCAGTCATGAATGGTGCTGAGATTGATTCCGTAGCTGGTGTAACTCCTGTGGCCTTGATTATTGATGGTACCAGCCTTGTGTATGTACTTGACAGTGAACTTGAAGAGCAGGTACTCACCAATTGGCCCTAGTCTTCTCAATTTCTTTGCTTGTTGGTGATATCTAATATGATACTACAGCTCTACTTATCCTGATTCGCAGCTCTTCCAATTAGCTGGTTTTTGTTCTGTGGTTCTATGTTGCCGAGTTGCTCCATTGCAAAAAGCTGGAATTGTTGCCCTTGTAAAGAACAGGACTGATGACATGACACTGGCCATTGGGGATGGTGATTATTTTCTCATGATTTTTAGTTGACATCTTTATACCCCAAAATTGAAATACAAAAACATATATATATATAAAGTGTGCTCCTTGGTGTTTAAACTGATATTGGAGATTCTATTGGATGATAAATAGGTGCAAACGACGTTGCAATGATACAAATGGCAGATGTAGGAGTTGGGATATCTGGTCAAGAGGGTCGGCAAGCTGTGATGGCTTCTGATTTTGCACTGGGACAGTTCAAATTCCTGGTGCCACTTTTATTGGTCCATGGACATTGGAACTACCAGAGGATGGGTTACATGATCCTATACAATTTTTACAGGAATGCAGTACTTGTTCTTGTGTTATTTTGGTGAGTAATTTTTGGTGGGTCAATTTTTTAACTTCCATGATTCTTGGTTGGTAAGATATGTTTTGTTTGTACAAACCTGATTTAGTAAATCATTTGAGCCAAATGTTGTTTTTAGTTACCTGAAAGTTTATGGTAAAGTTTTTTAAATGACATTTCCTACAAAGTAGTTATCAAGATTATAGATATAATTTGTGCAAAGGTGGAGCATATGAGAAGAATGATGGGAAACTCAATATATAACTGAAGTGTTGTATTCTTGATGACATGCTTAATTGTGTTGATGGTAATTTGTTTTGTGTAGGTATGTGCTCTTTACTGCTTTCACTTTGACAACAGCTGTCACTCAGTGGAGCAGTGTGTTGTACTCTATAATATATACATCAGTTCCCACAATTGTGGTTGCTATTCTTGACAAGGATCTAAAAAGGAGGACACTTCTTACATATCCACAACTTTATGGAGCTGGCCATCGAAAAGAGTGCTTCAACTTGAAACTATTTTGGGTGACAATGCTTGACACCTTGTGGCAAAGCCTTGCTGTCTTCTTGATCCCCCTCTTTGCATACTGGGGCAGCACAATTGATGGATCAAGTATAGGAGATCTTTGGACAATCGCGGTTGTTATTTTGGTCAATTTACACTTGGCAATGGATATTAACCGATGGAATTGGATTACTCATGCTGCCATTTGGGGATCTGTAATTGCAACTTTTATTTGTGTCATCGTTATTGATGCTTTACCAACAATGCCTGGTTATTGGTAAGCCTCACCTAATATCTAACTAATATATTATAACATGCCAAATAGTCAGTCATATACCTTGTTCAGAACCCTGGAACACAACCAAAAGCATATTTTTCTTCCTGTCTTTTCTGCATAATAGATTTCCAATGCATAGCAACATTGTTTTTAGGTTGTTGGTTGGGTTTTTAGGTAAAGTTTGTTGAATGAACTGTTTTAGAAACATAAAATGGTTTCCGATGAACTCTTTGTAAATTTATATATCTAGAGTATATCATCAGTCAAAAAGAACGACCTTGTCTTCTTTTCACATGTGCATTTGTCTTTTGCTTTGCTCTCTACTTGTCCTTTGGTTATTATCTATATCTCTTAAAGCAGTTTTTTTCTCATCTTACCATGGTTATTTCTAACTCCTGAACTACTCGAGACTATATATTTTCCTCACTTCACCATGTATGAGGAATAGGATTGACGAATGTGGTAGCAATAGCTTAGGACATTGTAGAAATGACTATTATGAGAAAACATGCTATAGACCGGAAAAAATGTCATATATTTGATTTTGAATTGTCAATAGTTTGCACTGTACAATAGAAAGGTCCATTGTTTTCTACTTAATTGAAGATTTTATGGAAATTTAGTATTACACTGGTTCAAAAATCTCTGAGACTTCTGTTTGTTTGATGATTTCACAGGGCCATCTTCGAAGTCACAAAAACGGGATTGTTTTGGTTGTGTTTGCTTGCTATAGTTGTCGTGGCAATTGTTCCTCGCTTTGTTGTAAAATTTATTTGTGAATATTATAGACCTTGTGATGTCCATATTGCGAGGGAAATTGAGAAATTTGGGAATTGGAGGGAGTCACAAGATGTACAAATAGAAATGAATCCAATCTCAAATTCTGAAAGGAGGTGAAAGGTGATTTTCTTCCTTGTGCATCTCCTTAATTCCTTTTACAACGGGTCATATTCTTTTAGGCTTCATAAGAGTACCACTCTTCGAGTTGCCTGATTTTCATTACTTGCTATCCGAAGGGTAGTGTAAACATGTAGGCTTGTGTTTCATCTTCTATTTGTTAATTAATATTGTAAATTAGCAAGGTCTACAGCTTAGGATGTAACCCACATAAATGAGATTTTCTTTTACTTTCATTTCCTTTTGTTGGTTAAATATACAAGAGGTTACACGCAAGGCTTTTCTTTCTAATTGTATATTCTATCCATAGAGAACTCATTAGCTATACTTTCTTTAATGGCATTCGAAAGTTTTGTTAATTCAGAACTTTGATTAAAGAAATGTTAGTGACATTGTTCAGTGTATTTTTGTTCAATAAGTACTTTATTCTTTTACTCTATGGGTAGATTAATTCAATTAGGTAGTATTGAATCGTAATTTTCTTATATAAACTATTATTGCTCGCTTTATGCGCATGAGAGTATATTTTTAATTTCAGATATCGAGTTAAAATTCACTTAGTTTAAATATAAAAATACGTAGTCATAGTTGATATTTTTTTTTAGATTATCAAAAATATATATTTTAATACAAATAAAAATTTTATTAAAAAGTTATAAACAGACTATGCCTACAGTTATAAGTTATAATTATTTATTAATAAATTAGGAATCGTTGTAATTCTATTATTATAATGTTTTTACGGAAAGAGACTTATTATTTTTATACCTTTATGAAATACTTAAAATAAATATAGATCATCGTATATTTAACTATAACATAACGTGATCTTTAATTTGTAATAAATTAAAATTTATATATATATATATTCTATGATACAGACATTGTTTCCGAGACAAATAATTAATGAAAAGTAAATTAATATGGAAGAGGTACAAATCCGGAAGAAACCATAATTCATAAGTAGGAGCCGTGTGCAAATGGTGTTGTGGACGTTAACCATGGTGCAATGCAACCCAATAATTAGGCTTCAATAGCCTTAAATGACAGCTTTAATAAAATATAATAATTTGGCCTCAGTGACCTTAATTTTAGATTGCATTTTAGTGAAAGGCACATATTATGTGATATCACTATTCTTTATTAATATTTTCCTGTGACCTTAATCTTTCCTACTTCACTTTTAATGTATAGTTTCTTGTTTCATATATATATATATATATATAATATAGTAAAAGAAAAGGACAAGTTTCTGTTCAACCAATTTTCTTTTTAAATTTTTTTTTTTTTTTTTGGTAGGGTTTCATGGTATAAGAGTTGCAAGAATTTGAATTTCTTTGGCTTTGTAAACATATTTCAATTTGAGTTTTTAGTTATTATAGGTAATTATTACGTGCTCGTATTGCTCCATTATTTGGTCTCAACAACTTGTCTTCAACTTGGGCAATTTTTCATTTGCAACCTGTTTTCAATTTTTTGTAATTTTATGAATTATTAAAATTTTGATTCTATATCTATCAAATTTAATGGAAATAACTATCATCTTTAAAGATTTCTTTTCATATAAAGAAAAAAAAATTATCTAAAACTTTAAATAGATCATTAGAAGAACCAATTGATGACAAAAAAAAAAAAAAAAGATTAAACAGAAAGCAAATGTTTTGGATTTGATGGAGAAAGATACTACTCAAAGTTTAAGATCTTTTTATATTGGCAATACAATTTGGGCTCATGTTAAGAAAATATATTTTCAAGCAAACCATGTTAGACAATATGAAGTAAAATATGTGATTGCTAAACTTAATCAAGATGATAAGATATAAGAAATCGTTACTTTAGTTATTGGGATTATGGCCCGAATAGATGTAGTGTCCCTGAGGCTTGTTGAGAATTCAACCTATCATGAGCTAGAAAAAGAAAGAGATAAAAGTAGAGTGCTTCAATTCCTCGTGAAACTCATACATTATAGCAAAGTGCAGTGTCGATTTTGCAATGGTATTGGGCATATACAGGCCCATAGCAAGAAGAGGAAAGAATGCAACTATTATAAAATAAAAAGAAGGAACATGTGATTCATGAAATTTGACTTTTATAAATGAATAAACAAAACCAATCTACATTTTTTTATTTTTAGTTTCGGCAAAGAATGTTATAATGGTGACTCTTTTAATATCAACTTAAATTTTCCTATGATTTTATACAATAAATTGTTCAAACTACCTCACTTTATTATGTGCTACTTCTTTTGTCCTTTTATGATGCTGGTTTATTAGGTAAAATAAGTCCCTTATCTCCATGGTTCCTTGACTCTACAACCTTTGATCACATGTCTAATTATAAACACAACTTTTCAAAACTTTACCCTTATCCACCAAGTCATTTTATTATTACTATTAATGTAGAAAAGTTATATATCAAAGGAATTAAAACACTTTCTTCAAAAAGATCTCTTCCACTTTCTAATTCTCTTTATGTTCCAAACTTGATTATAAGTTTAATTCTATTTGTCACTTGGTTAATCAAAATTGCTCAATTAATTCTTCTCCATCAGGTTGTGCTATACAAGATCTTTAAATTAACAAGGTGATAAAAAAAGGGTATAAAGAAGGACAAATATTTCACTTGAACTTGGATAATTTATAATCTCTTAATCATAAAGATAATGATCTTTTCTTCCATTATGTAGTTCTATTTTGTTTTCAAATAATATTTTAATTGTTAATAATAGAAGTTGTGTTTTTAGCAGCAATGCCCTAGACATTTTCATGCAAGTAAACTTAAAAACATATATCAATCTGGCGTACTTCTTGCTAAATTAAATTGTAGCATTGATTTCTTGAAATTAAATTATAAAATTTGTTCTCTTGGTAAAGCTACCAAGTTACCTTTTGCTTAGAGTTCTTATAATATTGATGCATCATGTGATTTAATTCTTACTGAATTATGGGGACCATTAAAATCTTTCTCTCAATTGAGTTATATTTTTTTATTGTTTATTGACTATTTTACACAATTTACTTTGGTATTTTTCTTATGTCGTAAATTTGATCTTACCAATATTGCAATAACCTTTTATCAAAATGATCGAGAAACAATTTGAAAATACCATTAAGATATTTAGATATAATCATAGAGTATTTTGCTCGTCTTAACTTATCATTTAAAAAAAAAAAAATTTACATCAATTATCATCTCCCCGAACCCTAGGACACAACAGAGTAGTTGCAAAAAAATGTTATGATTTTGTAGTTTTTAGATGGAAGTTATTCATATAGTTATTTGTCTTGTTAACCAACAACCTATACCTATACTTGAAAATATAATACATTGTTTCACTTGAAGAAAGCTCTCACGTACTTTCACCTTAGTGTCTTCGACCGTGTGTGGTTTGTTTTATTGCCTCCAAATGAACAGATAAAATTATCTCCTGAAGTTGCCAAATATGTTTTTCTAAGTTATAGTAACAAACATAAATAATAATTTTACTATGTTTTTCAAGCAAAAAGGTCACATTTCTTGTCATGTAACTTTTTTCGAGAACGCATATCATTTTTTTATCTCCTTTTGTGCCTCTTAGATTTCACATAATAAGTCAATTTCTTTTATGCCTTAGAGACACTTTAGAGAGTAATTACTCAAGTTCAAGTATAAATATATCATCAATGCCTCAATCTAACCATATTTTTGAAGGTCCACGACCTCTGTAGTCACTAACCATGCCTTATCCTTCAATTTCACCCCAATAACATTAGTATAATCGTTCTAATTTTGGATAGCCTCCAAACTAGTATGATTACTCTCCTGAATATTATGGTCCTTCTATTGCTTATATTAACACTCTTGATCTTATTCCATATCATCTATCTATAGACAAGCAATGATTAGTGCATGTCAAAAAGGGCAATGGATGAGGAAATTTTAGTTCTTAAGGTAAATTAGACTTAGGATTTAGATCCTGCTCCATCTTATGCCTTTACAATTAATAAAGAATGGATATATACTATTAAACTTAAGCATGATGGTTATAATTGATAAGTGTAAAACCAAACTAATGGCTTACGAATGCAGATGCATTTGGTATTAACTCTTTTTTGAGTTGAAATTTCGCCCTATAAATTTCTTTTTTCTCATGAAACTTCTAAATTTTCTTGTGATGAATGCAATTTCCTCATCACTTTTTTCATATGATGTAGAAGCTTTGAGAACAATAAATTTTTTATATATTTTTCTTATCTTCTCTCTTATTTATTATGAGTTCATAGGTAAGGAGTGCTCCCAAAGGCTCATCAAGGCTTAATTTCTTGAGGTCGTTAATTTCTTGTATGGTCGTCACCTTTCCATCTCACGATCTAAGCAGACACCTAAAAACCTTTTTTACTAATCCATCATTAGGGTAGATTTTTTTTAATAGATTTAAACAATTAATAATATCAGTGAATCTAGTAAACATCTATGTGATGCATTCATTTTATTGCATTTTAAGAATTTTATAATTGTGCACTAACATGTTTATTTGTGATTCTTTAACTTGGTTGGTTCCTTCACGTGTAACGTCTTGATTTCTTTGGCTGAATTACAAGTAAATATTTTATTATATTCACTTACATCAAGTCCACAGTATAGAGAATCAATTGTTGTATTTGATAAAGGTTTTATTAGGTTTTGTGTCTCATTAGTGTGTTTCACTTTTATTTGTGAAGAGAAAAGATGAAAATACGAGACTTTACATTAATTATCGTGAATTGAATAAGGTAACAGTAAAAAAACAAGTATCATTTATTGTGAATCAACGAATTATTCGATCAATTATAAGGAGTTAGTATATTTTCAAGAAATTAATTTCTGAATTAGTTACCATTAACTAGAAATCAAGATTGAAGATATTCACAAGTCAACATCATGGGTATTATAAGTTTATTGTAATGTCTTTCCACTAACTAATACACCAACCGTAACGGCCCCGAAAATTTAAAAGGAAATGCATATAATAATTTGAGTGCGGAAGCGAAATAAAGGTTAAGGTTAACATCCCTTATATGATAACTTAAAAGTACTAAACAAACATCACGGAATAAATTCTCTGAAAAAAATACGAGAACTGAAAAAAAAATTAAGGAAACTATAAAGTATATAGCTTCTACTCGCAGCCTTCTTGCGGATCGGGCTCGGAAACCAGGTTCTGCTGATCTGAAATGGTTAAATAAGAGGTTAGCTACACTAGCCCAGTAAGGACATC